TTTATCAATCTTGCTTCATCTTCAGTAGGTCTAAAGATAACAAAAATACGAGAGATTGGTGTCATTACTTCCATCATAATTGGTGTATTAACCAATTCAGGATTCACTTCCAAAACCCCATCTTGAAACATACATGCTAAATGAAGGAATGTAAAAAAACAATAATTTCGATTAACTCTAGCATCAGTATTATTTTCTCTAGTTCTATAGGTATCAACAACATAGTCTACCCCGGCTTTAATTCTTAGCGTTTGAGACATTATATACTACCATCAATTAAGTAATATCGTGATAAAAAATTATTAATCACAATTGCTTGAATAAATTTTATAGTTTTCGCTGTTTCCACAAACTGCCGTCGAGCAAATTTATGATGTTACTGTTTTTTTTAGTTTCTTGGGCTCTCATTAAATGAGTCTCAAGAAAGATTGGTATATAGATAGAAATTTGAAAAAGTGAAGATTGTTATATAAAATATATTGAAATATAAGCTTATAGCTAATTGTCCCAGTAATAAAATAATAATGAGAATTAAATTAAAAATGAAAATGATTTTAAAATGAAAAAATATTGAAAATTGTGAAGAAATTAATGCCAAGTCTTGACATTAAAAACTATAAACATAATAAATATTATTATTAAAACCGAAAAGATAAATCTATCCGCATGAAAAAATCATTAATTACGATTTTCCAAAACTAAACCAGAATCAGGTGGTAAGATCAAAGTAGATTTTATTCTAGTAGGATCAACTTTACCACTTTCAGTTCTAATATGATATTTTAAAATCATTTTATGTAAACCCATCTTAATTTCATTAACAGCAAAAAATCTACCAGGGCATGCATGTTTACCACCTCCAAAAGTTAATAAAGATCTATCAACTTTTGTAGCTGATGAATGAACAACTTTGCCATTAGAATATGAGGTTATATGCCGTTTAGGTTGAAAATCATGTGCTGTATCTCCATAAAATTTACTACTGAAGGCTGTATCTTTAGCAAAGATAAAAACATCACGACCTGTATAATTTTTATAATTGATGAAAATAATATTAATTCAAAATTAAAATAAATTAAAATAAATTAAAATGAATTAAAATATAAAATTCAGAAATAAATATACCTTTGGGTATAGTGGCACCGTTGCTAAATGTATATGAATCTTTGGTCATAGTGTGCGCTAATGAAGCTAATTTAAAATAAAAAAAAAAGATTTTATTTTAAATAATGAAAATTTATTTAAAAGGTTAAAATATCAAGTGTAATTACCTATATCTGAAGAATATCTAAAAGATTCTCTTACGAAACAGTCCAATTTGACCATTTTTTGGATATCATTCATGGTTAAAGTACCATTAGATTCATTATGAATTTTTAATTGTTCTTCGTAGATTTCATCCCATAATTCAGGTCTTCCGGCATAATCTAATTTTTATTAGATCAAATTCTTAAGGTTAAAAAATCTATTAATTAAATAAGAATAAAAACAAAAAAAAAATAAAATAAATACCAAAAAGGGCAAATGAAAGGAATCTGGTTGTTGTACTAATTGAAGCAAAAACTATTACATATAATTGTCCAAATAATTCATCCATAAGTTTATCATCAGCGACATCTGTTTTAAAATTTGGATGATTTAAGTAGAAATCAAGCAAATCATCCTATTAATTAAATAACCATTAATAAATAACCATTAGTTAGACAAAAGTTAGACAACATTAATTTAAAGTAAATTAAAAATGAAGAATGAGATAACATACTTTTGGAATATATTTTTCACCAAGCTCTTTTCTTTGACGGAGGCGTTCTTCAATAATTGGTTTACAACGTTTAACAAAAATATCTCTATGTCGACTAATTGGATTCCAACCAAATCTTAATGTTAATCTATTAAAAAGGGATGGATTTTTATTACATAAATAAAAGAGTTATAAATAAAGGTAAATAAATAATAATAATAAATATTATTGATCGATTAGAATACGTACGTGACAAGCTTTGCATGGAGGAAAGGACTAATAAAAGATAATATTGGAGGAACAAATCTCATATTTGTTATTTCACGTTCCACAGTTGCAAATGAGATTATAATATCTTCAAACTGAGCAGCTTCCTTTATAATTTAAAAATTCATTAAAATTATTGATAAAAATTGATATTATAAATGAAAATTATAAAAATGAAATTATTAAAACTTACTTCACAAATAATAACGTTAGCAACAGGTTTGGCAACCATCAATGCTATTGTATTTTGAATATTTCTGAAAACCTTTGGTTCTGAGAAATATTTATTCATTTTATACAGCAATTAGATAATCAATTTTAACTTATAACAAAGATAATATAATAAAAAGTTAATAATATGTAATAAAGACCTTTACAATCACCAAAAAATTTTTCAATTCCAGATGAAAGTTCTTTTTGCATTCTTGATGTGTAGATATTGACTTTGCCACTGACATGTTCATGAACTACTCGGGCAGTGAATTCTGGAGCGTAAAATTTCCTGAACTGGTCGAAAACAGCATTAATTGGAAACACCTGTAATGATAGGTATAAATAAAAGTTATATAAGAATGTATTTTTTTTATACATAAATTTTAATTTAGAAGTGAATTATTCTTAATTTCAGCCAGGTGCAACCTCAGTTAACCGAAGTGCATAACAATACAAGCGATCACGACATATATATTCTTTACAAATGGATGAACATTATACAGCATATTAATATGTATATACATACGTACGTACCTTAGCAATTGCTGCATAAAAATCAAAAATATCGGTATTTCTTAAGACCTCATGAGAGGTTTCAACTCCAGTAAAAGTTCTCACACTTCCAAGGATGTATAAGCTGAATGGTTCACCATACTTTATAAAAAAAAAAAATCAATAATTAGAAAAGTACCGAATTAAAGAACTTAAAGAGCATAAAATATGTAATTACATTTTACGTACCTTTTCTTTACAATTTTGTAGAAAGTTTGCAGGATTACGGTAATAATCATACGTATGACCAATAATTGGATAACGATATGGTGCTAATGGTGGTTCATTCTATGTATAAAAAAAATGAAATCTTATTACAAAAAATAAATAATAATACTAATGGTTATTAAATAAAATGAAATTTACCGCACCAATTCGAGGTCGCTTAATTAAATGAAATGTAAATACAATAAAAAATAATAAGCCAAAAACTTCAACGTAAGCCATTTTTTTTTTCGATAGTGAAGTTACAAGCGCGCCTACACATATATATATAAAACATGATATGTATATTTTATGCACGTACGTACGTACAGTACATTGTAAAATTTCGGAAAAACAGTTTTACCATGGTATGTTGTTCAATCCGGCACTGCTGATCAAATGTGCCTATGGAAATAGAAACAACGGAAAAGTGGAAAGAGTAAAAATCCATCACGTACAATACGTACGTACGTAATTGTGCATCGTTTCATTATTATTGTTTTTAGAAAAATTTTACGATCTTACGTAATCGGCAAAATTGACTTTTAGCCAGTGACACAAAATTTAATTGGGAACCCATATGGGTTCACTTAAGTCCTGCAAATCTGGACCCCTCCGGGTAAGTCGGAACCAATGAAATAATGATCTTGTGTGACAAAAACAAAGAAAAAACTAACAAAACGCAGCTAGCACAAAATTTTACTATGGTAACCTGCTTTCTGGCTTTAAGTAAAAATTTTCAAAATAAAATTAGGACCGGATTTGCAGGACATAAGGACGGGTGGGTGGGTCACCCGGGTTGAGTTGTAACAACCCGGGTGCCAACCCGCGGGCTGACCCGCGGGTTGATCTGTGGGTTCATAGGGAGACATTCGTATGATTGGTTGATGTAAATCAATTGCACAGATAACTTATTTATATAATTTAAAGTACTTTTTTGAAATGCAACGTTTCACTAACAAAAAAAATCATTGTAAAACCAATTTCTAGCTTCTATATTCACTGTGTAAAAATAATCATTAACCCCAAGAACGTCATATAGAATCGGATGTTTTTGCCATTTACTGATAATACTAATTATATTAACCATATGTAAGTTCTAAATGCTGGATTGAGACAAGATTTAACTTAAAGAATTTATGTATACCATTTTATATGCTATTATAATAACAATAAGCTTGTACTAATGTTCATATTTTATGTAATCTGAACATTATAAAGTTAAAACATTAGTAACTTTGGGTTAAGTAGTAAGTCGATAATATGTATGATATATGAGTATTATCGTTTAATTAATTATATGGCTAAAGGTCGTGTTACATCTCTAATAAAGGTCATGATAATTAAAGATAAGATTGAATTATTTTTCAAAATCTAACGATAATAAATATAGTTTCGCTAATAATTTATTCGCATATTGAATTTTTTGATCAATTTGAGTTAGGGTTTATTAGTAATAAATATCAATTTACTACGTACGTACATTGCATATCTATCCATATATTTTTAAATTAGGATTGCTGGTGCGCAAATAATTTTTACGGTGCACCGATCATATTCGACCTAGACTAATTTGTGCATGGTGCACCTAATGGTGCACCATAAAATAGTTTGTTAGAGTTTAAATTAGATTTTTAGACTGGAATTAACTTTACATTAGTTTAAAATGGTTATTTCAATAACTACGCTTGTAATGATCTAACCAGGATATTTATCAGATGTGTAAAAAGTCTCTAAACTCGGGTTTCACTAATATTATAATTTTTTATAACTATATACACGTTCACGATAAGTACGACCGATATTAAGGGTCGATATTTATAAGGTAATAAAGTAATAGGGTAATACAAAAATGTATAATATGATCGTTAAGAATCTTAACGGTTAAATAGGGAAATAACAATAAATACAACAATATAAAATAAACTTATAGCAACAATTGAGAAATCAATTCTTGATACCTTATATTAAAGACATTGAAATCTAAAGCTTTATTTGAAGAGCGAAAAGACAATACAAAAAAATGTATAATACAATCATTAAGAATCTTAATGGTTAAATAGGAAAATAACAAAAAATACAACAATATAAAATAAACTTATAGCAACAATTGAGAAATCAATTCTTAATGCTCTTATATTAAAGACATTGAAGTCTAAAGCTTTATTTGAAGAGCGAAAAGACAATACAAAAATGCATAATATGATCATTAAGAATCTTAATAGTTAAATAGAGAAATAATGATAAATACAACAATATAAAATAAACTTATAACAACAATTG